GGTTGCTAAAGAACAGGAAGGAAAAATGAGACACAGAACAAAAGCTGTTTCTTATCCTTTGCCTAGTTATTTGCCTAGCCTACAGCTGTGCCCATTTTTGCAGACACGCATGGGTTACCACCAAAAGATTGATTCAAATGTCTGCTTCTTGTGATTGGAGAAAGGTGGTAGAATATGGATCGATTGGAGGACTGCAAGAAAAGAGATGCAGACACAGAGGAGAGATGAAGGGAACATGTGGCAGTTAGAAAGAAACAAACATGTATTTCTCACTGACATAAAAGAACTCCTCTGGGTGGGCTATAGACTGAATTCACTTTGCTGTATCATGAGTATTATTTGGCAGATCAATTATTTTGCACTTTTTGGCTGTTATTTTTAGCTCTTGTTAATTTAAGTGTGCCTCTAACCAAAACTTTTTTCTTGTTTTTAACAGTTGTGTAGGGTTATGATCACTGCCCGAGGGCCTGGGGTCAGTAGGGGGCCCCATGAAATGCCCCTGGTACCTTTTATAGGCTTTTTTGGGTGTGCTTTGAGTGTGGGCAAGGACACAGGGGCCCCATGATCCCCTATTGCCCGGGGGCCCCATGAGTTTTCAGTCCGCCCTTGGTTATGATCCATATCCGGTTTTTATTGCTTTCTTTGTCCCTGCCAGGGAAATTCATGCTCTCTGTTTGTCCTGGTTACCATGGTCACAGGGACAGAAAGTGATGGAAAATTCAAAATTTTACAGTTGTCACTGGAACAGGAACACCTGTTTTGATGAAAAACTGTTTCAGAGGGGATTTCCCTTCACTTCCTGTTGCAAAATATAATTTTCTCTATCCAATACAAAAAAAATATATGTTTTGGCTAGAGATACACTTTAGGGCTCGTGTACACGGGGCCTTTGAAAAACTCTTCTAAATGATGGAAACTGACTGCTAGAAAATGTAGGTTAAAAAACGTCAGTTTAGCCACGTTTGTATACCGCGTTTATGCGCATTTATAAGCATTTGCGTTTAGAAGCGTTTTTAAAAGATAACCTCAGGAGACCTTCCCAAATGCCCAGAATGCACTGAAAAACAGTAAAAAAATTTACTATTTCAGACATTTTGAGAGAAATTGAGAGAACAGAAGCAGAGCGGTATGTGTTGAGATTACCTGTCTTTTCTGATTGTATTCACTATGGATCCCATCATGGGCATAATGCAGCACGTTCTACCATTTTTTTCCTTCACGCAAAACCTGGAACTGACTGCACTGGTGTACTAGGTCCATTTGAGTACCTGAAAAACACTTTCATCCATCTGGAGCAACTCTGCAAAGAAACCAATCAGCTTCCAGGTTTTTTTGTCAAAGCTTAATTGAACAAGCTGAAGTTTGAAACCTATTGGTTACCATGCTCAACTGCACCAGATTCTGAGTGATCCAGTTTTGGTAAATCCCCCCTGAAGAATCATTGAATGATCACAGCACTCCACAGAGCTCCGTAGTGCTCCACAGTGCTGTGGTAGTATATTGAGAACTATAAGTCGACAGCCGCAAAGGCTATCGGAACTGGTCGTTTTTCCTATTCACAGAATACACAGAATAACTGTCGTGTGGGGATCTGCCCACTTGGCCACTGTTTTTTTATATCGTGATAGTTAAGGTGGGAATACATGATTAGAAAATCAAACTGATCGGTCATCCGACGACCGAGAGGCGTTCGTTCGTTGGTCGAAATCGTGACCCACATTAACCAATCTAAAAAAAATTGTTCGTCGGGCGATACGTAGTGTTGACGTCTTCCATATTAGTGGAAGTGATGCGGTGTGCGTGTGACCTTGTAGCCACGCCCTTCCGGCCAGAATGAGCGATATACACAACAATTAATAGCAATGAGTATAATATAGTTTATTACATTAATTATATACATAAATAGTGATACATAAAATATAATATGCACAATTCTGGTTTCATTATCTCATTAGGCCAATCTACTTTTAACATTTGGATTTTTCATTCGTGTTTACGAAGATTCCTTGGACATCTTTTGCTTCCGCTCATGCATGATAGTGCTCGATAGATTTTTTTCATACGACCGTCATACCACCGCATAGAAAATCGGTCATTCGTATGCGAAACGACAACATTTTTCACTGTTGTTCAACTGGATTTTTTCGTTCACAATATTGTTATCAGTTAAAACATCCTGCTCATCAATGAAGAAAAAAATCGTTCGATCACTGGTTCTGCAAAATTTTTTGTGCGATTTTCTTATCGTGTGTACAGGGCATTAGCAGGGAGGAAAAGATCCCCTGCTAGCTGTCACAACAAGGGAGTGGGGGGGTGTTGGCCGATCCATTCATAACATCTGAATATAGGCGTAACATGTTGCCAAAGATGAACGAATCCTGTAACAGTTCTTATTGCGAAAAAACACTTCCAAGGGCCCTTTCACACGTTCTTTCCAATCATGTCCACCTGTCCGTTTTTAGGAGGAACTGATCAGAAGTTCCATGGGCAGTCTAATTTAAATAGTCTTGTGTCCATTTACACCCTCCTACCTCCTAGTCATTTCCTTTTTTCTGGACCTAAATGTGATGAATCAGAGGTAGACTTGTGTCTGTTTACATCCAGCCCCCATAGAGCTATCACGGTTCTGCTCTTGTCTGCTCTGTAAATGCAATTCAATGGGGGACCTGCTCACGGATCTCCATGTGAAAGGGCCCTTATGGGGGACCTGCTCGTGGATCCCTATGTGAAAAGGCCCTTACAGGTCAATTAATTGAGAGCCTTTTGAATGTGAAATAGCACATAAGCTGAATCTATTATAATTGTAGAAAGTCTACAACACTTAGGCCTCATATACAAAAATATGTCTAGCATAAAATCCTGGCATTTGTCATGCCCGGGAAACTGCAGGCAGTACATACAGGCTGCCGTACAAATGAATGGCTGTACATGGCTGTGTTCAGGTAAACATATGCATGCCTGTATGATTATTATTATTATTATTATACAGTATTTATATAGTGCCAAAGGGTATGCTCAGCGCTGTACAGTAGCAAGGGGGACAGAACATGAGACAAGACAGTAACAATACAATACACGAGGGGTTCGAGGGCCCTGCTCTTTCAAGCTTACAATCTAGGTATGATGTATTCTTACTCAATGTATAAATTCTGCATCCGCGGGAACATGTCATATAGTATGTGCATGAAAGCATCAGCATTCACCTGAGTACAGACAAGTACAGGCACTCACCTCTATGGCTGGCTTTACATGCCAACTGTGGCACACAAAAACACCAGGGTTTTTACACTAGACATATTTTTAAGCCTCAAAACATCTGTGTACATGTATCCTTTGAAAAAACGTATATTACTGGGGGTCCTCATATGGCATGGAATATGTCTTTTTCCCACTAGTTGCTAATTTTAAAGTGTTACTAAACCCACAACAGTAAAATCAGTCTGTATATGCAGTAAAGCATGCTTGTTATACTCACTGTGGAACCTAAGGGGTTAATCCTCTGCATTGTGTAAAAAGGCTGTTTGATCCTGACTTATTCTTCCAGTGCCCCCCTCATATCTCCTAATAAGACATATCATGTGTAGTCACTCTGCACATGCTCAGTTTGGTGTGTATTGCTAGAGTTTTTTTTTTCTTGGGAGAGTGAATGTGCTCAGCACAGGACCAATCAGCACTGCCTGGACAGAGGTCGGGGTTCTGCATCCTCCTAGAGCAGAAAGAAAACTTCTCCTACAAGATTTAACCAGTGCTCTGCTGGAAACTGATATAAGTCACAAGACTGCTCTAACTGCTGGTGAGAAAAGGTATTTAGCAGTTTATATTTATTAAAATAATTGCATTTCCATGTAGTGTGTACTGTGGGAGACCAGATATGGTGAATACAGGGTCCTGGGTTTAATAGCACTTTAACACTTATAATATATGATGTGCAATTTGTTCAATGGTATGCTTCTGATCTATGCTTTTTTATGCAGCGCAATTTTTTTGCCACATCCCAGCACCAGCACCTCTGCCACAGGGATTGATGGAAGCCAATAACAAATCAGTCATCAGAAGTTGACCCTTATTTCCTTCTAAAATTAATTAAAAAATGAGCTAAAAGTGTATTAAAAATACCGTGTATTAGTATAAAATATATATAGAAATTTAAACAAGATCATTGAGGTACATGTTCAGAAAACATATGGGGTCAATTGCCCCAAAACTGATAAATCATTTATGGTTAGGACCACCACCTTTTATCTCTCAGAAAATGTACCAATGAGAACTCTGGTTCAGCATACCTTTCATGACCATTATAGGATTTATTGGTGTATATATTTTGTAGCATGCAGAGGTGGATTGGAACACCCAAAACTCCCAAAGAGAAAGCAACATAGTTAGAAACTATGTCAGGGAGATCTCTGAGTATCTAAGAAGTATCTAGGACATAAGAGGCCAAGGAATAATTGAGACTTTTTGGTTCTGTCTATAACCAAAATATGGTGGACTGGCCCTTTAATTTGTGTTCTCTTTTATTCATTGAATATCACTATTTGTGTTGCTTTTGTAATTGTGGATTAAACACAAGCATTAAAAATTCAAAAGTTTTGGCTCTGAATTATGTCTTCCTGTACTTGGATGGTGGCTTGGCATCTATTAAGTTGCTGGCATAGGTGTTGAGCATTCACCTAAATACCTCACCCCAGGGATGACAGAAATGCTTGAAATAATAAAGCTTTTGTGTATCAGGTGCAAAAATACATCTTTCAAATCCTAGATCCATGTTAAACTGGCTTGTGAAAAATGCCTGTGCATACATTCAAGCCTCTTCATAAATCCCACAGTGATCAAATACAGCAATTACATTACTATACCTTTTAAAGCAGTCAAGAGCTAACCAGCCCCTTTTCCTTCCTTTTTCCTGGCCAGAGAGGTTGCTCATCAGGGTGACACAGTGACAGATAGGGGGGTGTTAGAAGAGCCAGGTCAAGTTTGGTCATCATCAGGGGCGGACTGACCATTTGGAAACTCGGGCACTGCCCGAGGGCCCGGTGTCAGTAAGGGGCCCCATGAGATGCCCCTGGTACCTTTTTCATAGGTTTTTTTGAGTTTGGGCAAGGACACAGGGTCCCCATGATCCCCTACTGCCCGGGGGCCCCATGTGTTGTCAGTCCGCCCCTATTCATCATTAAAGGATAAGTTCACCTTTCTAAAAAAATAATGCACATTTTGTACAGGTAAAAAAATGGAAAGCATAGCACCCACGATCAGAAAATCGTGGGTACAATGCAGGGCTCCAGTAGATTGTCAATGTATCTGTCAGCTCGTACCTCATTTGGACAGGCAGTTACTCAATAAACATCCTAGTGCGCTCAACAACGACCTGGTAGTTTATTGGGACCTACAAACTGTCAGCTGCAAAGGCTATCAGTACTTGTAGTTCATTCACAGATCTCTGTGACTGAATGATGTGGCCGTGTGGGCAGAGCTCCGCACAGCCATGCTCTTATTAAATTATGACAGTGAGTGCAGGGAGAAGATCCCCGGCTCGCTGTCACAATAAGGGGGGGATTGCCGAGAGGCTGCAGGAATGGGAACATGTTACATGGTCCACCCTAAAAACAGATGGAACATGTAACATGTTCCCAAAGGTGAACTTATCCTTTAAAAAGTGTTGGGCATATTAAAGCATCCCAGGTTTTGGGGCTCCTGGAACATACTTGAAAATGTTTGTAGATGTGCAGGCATGTCTAAAGCTGGACATTCACTAGTAGGTTTTTGAACGAATGTTAGTAAACACATTTGTAGGAATATTCCTATGAAAAATCTCATCACAACCTTCAAAAACATGACAAATATTGTTTGAATGTGCTTCAAAAATGTATTAACATTCAATTTTGGAGTGAACGGACTTTCCTGAAAAATACCTTCAATGTTAGAACTTTGTTTGTTCAAGAAAAATTTTCCATCCTGGTCAAAAACAAAAATCGATTTGATGCCATTAATGAATAGAAAATCAAATGAACAACAAAATTCAGCTAGTGTTTGGTCAGCTTTAGCTCCTACTTTTTAAAATGTAGCTGGTTTAGCTTGATGTACTAAACTACAAGAGTGCATTAACCATATGCCATGCCTTTAACACTGAAATGTGGAAAAGTACAGAGGCATTGTTAGTAAAATCAGTCTGTATATGGAGTGAAGCATGCATGTTATACTCACTGTGGAACCTAAGGGGTTAATCCTCTGCAAACGCTGTTTGGTCCTGTCTTCTCTAATCCTCCCCTTCTTCCAGTGTCCCCCTCTTATTTCCTGATAAGACATATCGTGTGGAGTCACTCTGCACATGTTTAGTTTGTTGTGTATTGCTAGAGTTTTATTTCTCTTGGGAGATTGCATATGATCAGCACAGGGCCAATCAGCACTGCCCAGACAGAGGTCAGGGGTCCTGCATCCTCCTAGAGTGGAACGAAAACTCATCTGACAAGCTTTAACCCGTGTTTTGCTGAACACTGATAGAAGTCACAAGACTGCTCTAACTGCTGATGAGAAAAGGTATTTAGCAGTTTATATTTACTAAAATAATTCCCATGTTCTGTGTACTGTGCGAGACCTGATATGGTGAATGCAGGGTCCTGGGTTTAGTAACACTTTAAAGTAGTCTCAGTCTGATATCTTAAAGTATAAATAAACATACAAAAGGGGCACTAGAAGAAATGGAAAGCAAGTCCAAATGGTTTTAATATTTCACATATAAAGAGATTTAATCCAAGTTAATAAAAAAAAAAAATTAAAATATACCATTTGGGTGAAAATAGTACACAAGTGGTGTTAAGGTATTAGTCGCCTTCAATGTGGGAATGGGTGGGGGAGGATGAGCTCAAGGGATGCCTTATGAAGAATTGAGGTTGGTCTCACTTTACGTGGCTAAACTTTAGGCTTTTGGGCCTGGAGTTCAAATGTGTAAGAGTTTGGGTGGGACAGCAGCCTGGCAGCCCCCATTTACAAATCCACTTATCAGGATGCTTGGCTTGTTAATAGATCAGAAGCTCTCATAGGTGAGGGGACTGTGTGCTTTGAAAATACTGAGCAAGGCACTAATGGACGGTGGTTTATGCTGTGTGCTGTGCAAAGCATTTGAAGGGTTCACCAGCTACTTTGGGATTTGCCAAAGCTAAGCGATTAGACTACAATATGGACTATAACACTTGCTGGAGTAAGCAGTCCTTGTTGTTTTTTTCTGTGCTGAAGTGAAAGAGTTGTGTTTTGTTTGGACACAGGGAAAAAAAAATGCTGGATAAGTTCTTCCTTAGGGTTCGTTCACACAAAACCCTGTGTTTATGCCACATTTTTCAAGCCTCATAACTGCCTTTTAATGCCTGCCATAAATATTACAATGGGCACCACATAGTGCAGTACACACAAGTGCAGTAGCATTGTGTTAAAAATTAAGCAGCATGTCCCTTTCACGAGGCATTGACACTTCTCAGCTGCCTCCAAATTTCAATAGTAACACACTGTAACCACACTGTAATCATGCCTATAGCATTTATGGTGCAGATTCTCAAGTGAGATAGGACCATAAACTAAAAAAGAGCTGTTATAATATATATATTTTAGGGAGCATCTTCTTAACCACTTGGCACCGACCACCTCCCGGCCCTTTAGGAGTTCTAAAATCCGTGGAGACGGGCTTGTCATTTGTCACAGTTGTCATTTGACCACTGTGATTGGCTGTCACAGCGGTCACATGATTAGTAAGCTTTTGATCGAAAGTATGCATTGGTAGCTTACCGATCCCCTCTGGCTTCCATGCTGGGAGCATGCAGGGAGTTCATCTCAGCACAGTAGTTAGTTTTAACAGGGCTGCATATATGTGGCTGCTCAGTGTTAATGCCCACCCGATGAACAGCCGCATATATGCGTACGGCCAACACCAAGAGGTTAAAGTAGCAATAAAGTCTCAACTTTTTTCCGAGAAACACATAATTTTTTACCAATTTAGCACTGGACAACATATACCGTAATTATTCACAAAAAATGTCCCAAAACATATTTTAGACAGGTTTACAGGTGCAACGTCTGGCTTCCTTTGCTTTGCTTCTGCGAACTTCAGGTCAGGAAACATACACTCAGAATATCATTCAAAGTCTCCTAATCTCTCTTTTTGTGACTACATGTCCTACCATTCCAATGTCCACCATAAATGCATGCCCCATTATTGACAAAATCCTATTTGTGTGCCCAATCATTGATAATATACGTATGTTGCCTCTGCTGCTGACATCATGCATGTGCGCCCTGCCATTGACAATCTGCTCTCAGGCTGCATGTGTTAGCGCCATCACATATGCATGCCCCATCATTCAAAAAATATTTGTGTTAGCACAGGATACTCTTCTCACATGAGCATGCATAAAATGGAATCTATGTAGGACCCTGCAAGTAGCAATATAACAATAACAATGTGACCACTCAAAAAAAAACAGCTGGGATGACTGCCGGCGGCGTCCATGGTTGCACTCAGTGCACTCCCCACAGACCAGATCCTGCACACCCATCAGTTGTGGATGGGGGTAACATGTTTCAGAGTCTCCACTCCCATTGTCAAGCCTTGACAAAGGAGGTGGATGCTGCTGGCAGTCATTCCCCTTGGTGGGTTCAGTGCTCTGCTTTTGTGGCTTACTGATCCCAGGGTTTCTTTCTGGCCATGCTATACATCTGTCTCTCTGCACTGAGAGCTGAACACAGTCTATTCCTTATAAGTGAACCTATGTTCACAAATAAACTTGCTACAAGAATCCTTTTTTTATATCTTTTTTATAAGTTTTTTTTGTTTAAAAATACAAAAAAAAACATCAAATAATCATAAGCTGGTAAAAAGAAAACACATACAATAACAAGCTTCTCCCATGCATCCCAAATAACTCATATCGTATTTTCCCTGTCCCCCTCACCCCATCCTCACCCCCTCCACATTCCCTAAAACTCTAAAACCGAACCACTTTCCTAGTTTTTAACCTTTGTCATTATCAGTCTATGGTGTCCGTTTATGAACCAGCGGTAAATGATCGCTGCTCAGTTCTCCGGAATTCTCGGAGAACACAGTTCTCCTGTGAATGCCTTTTATGAAGCTGTGTAGATCAGTTCTCCGAACAAAGGGAGAACGATCTACAAACGCTGGAAAAATGGCTGCTTTTACTATATTCTTGCGAGATTACAGTAAAAGATCAGTTTACTAAGCAGAGGTAAATTATCGCTGCTTAGTTTGCGGTTCCTCCGATTCTCCAGCTCTGGGCTGGAGAATCTGGAGGGAGAACACAGATCTCCAGTGAAGGGCTGAACATGTTCTCTGCTGATCTCCTGAGTGTCATAAACTGTGAATGACCAGAGAATAGCTGCGATCCTCTGAATCGAAGCTATTCTCTGTGTCATAAACGGACACCTATATCTGTGTTCCCTTCCTCCTGCCCCCTCTTCTCTGTGGGTACTCCTACAATTCCCCTCAATACTCATTTACTAAAATTCCAGGTAGAGCCACATATATCTTTTAGTTATTCCATTTTATCCTCTTTAACTAGCTGCCGACCGCAGATAGTTGAATGACGGCTGCACTGCGGCCGGCCAGTTCTGAGTGGACGTCATATGACGTCCTCCCAGAACGTGCTCTCCTGCGCGCCCCAGGGTCCTACGGACACAGCTGATCACGTGATGTGGTAAAAGGCCAATCACAGCGGCCTTTTACCACGTGATCAGCGGTGTCCAATGACACGCTGATCAGAGGGAAATGCAAGTGCCGGTTCTCGGCTGCACTTTCCTCACGCTGTCAGATCGTGAGGAAAGTACTGCTGAGAACCGGCAGTTGTCAGAGCGGGGATCGGCACCGATCATCAGGGCACTGATGATCAGTGCCCTGATGATCGGTGCCCAGCAGTGCCACCTGCAAGGTCCGCCCACCTGTGCCCAGCAGTGCGCCCACTAGCTCCGCCCACCCGTGCCCAGCAGATCACCCACCTGTGCCCAGCAGTGCACCCACCTACCTGCAGCCCACCAGCAAGTGCCACCTGTGCCACCCACCTGTGCCCACCCACCTGTGCCCAC